GAATGGATTTAAAAAAAAAAAAAAAGCCAAGTATCTGCTGTCCCCAGGAAACACATCTAACCCACAAAGACTCATTTAGACTCAAGATGAAGGGATGTAAAACAATATCCCATGCAAATGGAAACCAAAAGAAAGCTGGTGTAGCCATTGTCATATCAGATAACATAAACTTCAAATCAACAAAAGTAAAGAAAGACAAAGATGGTCACTATATAAATGGTGAAGGGAACAATTCAATAAGAAGACTTAACAATCCTAAATATTTATGCATCTAACACAGGAGCACCCATATTCATAAAGCAAAGCCTATTTGATCTAAACAAACTACTTAACATTTTACCCAAGAACTTCTAAATATATGTTCTTCTCATCAGCTCATGGAACATTCTATAAGATTGATCACATCCTAGGCCATAAAACATGCCTCCACAAATTTTAAAACATAGAAACTGTACCATGTATCGTCTCAGACCATAATGGAATAAAATTAGAAATCGATTCCAGCAGAAGCATTTGTCCCTACACACATCATGGAAACTAAACAATCCATTGCTGAATGCTGGTTGAGTTTCAGTGCACAGACCCACAGTGGCTTCCCTCTCCCTCCCCTGAGCATACAGGTTCTCCCTGCCCTGGGCGCTGGCATGCTGCTGTTGGGGGCAGCGGTGATGCAAGACTGTCCTTCTGCCCTCCTCAATGCTTCCTTCCTTGATAGAATGTTAAACCAGGTAGTATATGATTGCTTACTTGATTTTTGGTTCTTCCAAAGGTGGTTGCTTGTGTGAATAGTTGTTGAATTTGGTTTTCCTACGGGTGGATGATTGTGGAGGTTTCTTTTTGCCCATCTTGCTTGGCCTCCTCTCCTCATGCATTAATTATTTTTAAAATCGTTGTCCTTACTAGCTTTTTAAACAGGTCTGAAATAGGTGGTAATATTTTCCTCATTTTGCTTAGTCAACTGTTACCTCCCAGAATATAAGTAAATCATGATCCCAATCCTAAATAAATAATTTTAAAGCCCAAATCAATAGTGTCTGAATTACTGAGCTTTTATTTTATGCCAAAATTGGGGAGCATTGTTTGACTATTTATTTATTTAAAGAATGAACAACAGGACTAGATTCAGAACCAAATATACTAAGACATCTGTGTCAGTCTCACTGCATTATCTATCTGCACGGTTTGTTTTCTTCTTTTCTTAGAGGATTTGGGCTTTTTGTATGTGTGGATTTGTGATATATAAACTCAATTGGTTACAAGTTCCAGAGTAGTTATTTTTAATAAAGTTTATCTTTGCCTAGGCCAATGTCTGAGAGGATTTTCCCAACCTCTTCTTCTAGGATTCTTAAGGTTTCATGCCTTAGGTTTAAATCTGTTATCCATCTTTAGTGGATTTTTGTGAGAGGTGAGAGGTAGGGATCCTGATTCAATCTTCTGCATGTAGCTATCCCGTTTTCCCAGCACCATTTATTGAAGAGAGATTCTTTTCCCCATTGTATATTTTTGTCTGCTTTATCAAAGATTAGGTTACCGTGTGCTGATGGTTTCATCTCTGGAATCTCAGTCCTATTCCAAATGCCGATACTTCTGTTCTTGTGCCAGTCCCAGGCTGATTTAATTATTATTGCTTATAGTATAGCTTGAGGTTAGGAAGACTAATACCTCCCAGTTTGTTCTTTTTGCTTAAGATTGCTTTGGCTATGCGATGTTTTTTCTGGTTCCATACAAAGTGAAGAATTATTTTTTCTAGATCTGTAAAGAATGATGGTGGTGCTTTGATGGGGATTGCATTAATTCTGTAGATGACTTTAGGTAATATTGACATTTTAATGATATTGATTCTACCAATCGGTGACTAAGGTAGATTTTTTCCATCTGTTTACATCTTCTACTATTTCATTTTTTAGTGTTTCGTAGTTCTCCTTGTATAAGTCTTTCGTATCTTTCATTAAATATATTCCTAGACATTTAATTTTCTTTGGGGCTATAGTAAAAGGTATTGAATTTTTTATTTGAGTTTCAGTTTGATGGTTCTTGGCATATATGAATACTCTGATTTGTGTATATTGATTTTGTAACCTAAGATTTACCGAATTCATTTATCAAGGCTAGGAGTCTCTTAGATGAATCCATGGGATTTTCTAGGTATAATATCATATGATCAGCAAAGAGCGAGACTTTGATCTTATCTGCACCCATTTGGATGCCCTTAATTTCCCTTTCTTGCCTTATTGCTATAGCTAGGACTTCAAGTACTATGTTGAATAGAAGAAGAGATAGTGGGCATCCTTGTCTACTTCCAGGTCGAAGTGGGAATGGTTTCAGTTTTCCCCATTGAGTATAATATTGGCCATGGGTTTGTCATAAATGGATTTGATAAATTTAAGGTATGAGCCATCTATATCTATTTTGTTAAGAGTTTTTATCATAGAAGTGTGTTGGACTTTGTCAAATGCTTTTTCTGCATCTATTAAGAGACTCATATGGTCTTTGTTCTTATTTTTATTTATGAGGCAGATTGCATTCAAAGATTTGCCTATGTTGAACAAGCCTTGCATCCCTGGAATAAAGCCAACCTGGTCATAGTGAATTATATTTTGACGTGCTGCTGAATTCTGTTTGCTAAAATTTTGTTCAGGATTTTTGCATCTATATTCATGAGGGATATTGGTCTGTGATTTTCTTTTTTTGTTGTGTCTTTTCCTAGCTTTGGTATCAAGGTGATATTGGCTTCATAGAATGAGTTAAGGAGGATACCCTCTTTTCTTCTCAATGTTGTGGAATAATTTCTGTAGTATAGGTATGAGATCATCATTGTATGTTTGGTAAAACTCTGATGTGTAGCCATCTGGTCTAGGACTTTTCCGTTTGGGGAGGTTATTAATTATTGCTCCAATTTCTGAGCTTGAGATTGGTCTGTTCAGAAATTCTGTTACCTCCTGGGTGAACTTAGGGAGATTGTATGAATCCAGGAATTTGTCCATTTCATCTTCGTTCTGTAGTTTTGGGGCATATAGTTTTTTATAGTAGTAAAACATAATGTTTTGTATTTCTGTGGCATCTGTTGTGACCTCTCCTTTTTCATTTCTTATTGAATTAATTAGAGTCCTTTCTCTTTGGGTTCTTGTCAGTCTGGCAAGCGGGCTATCAATTTTGTTTATCTTTTTGAAAAAGCAGCTTCTAAAGTGATCTACAGAATTAATGCAATCCCCATCAAAGCACCACCATCATTCTTTACAGATCTAGAAAAAATAATTCTGCACTATGTGACCGGAACACGACCAAAAACTTTTTTCTGCATGAGGCCCAAACACGCAATCTTGAAGCAAAAGAACAAACTGGGAGACATCATCTTCCTAATCACAGCTGTATCATAAAGCAACTAATAATTAAATCAGCCTGGGGATTGGCCACAACGAACAGAAGTCGAGTATTGGAGATAGAACACTGCAATGACCAGAGACTGAAACCATCACTATATGGTAACCTAACTTTGATAAAGCAGACAAAAAACTATACGAATGGGAAACGAATCTCTCTTCACATAAATGGGCTGGAAAACTTGGATAGCTACATGCAGAAGATTGAATCAGGATCCTACCTCTCACCCTCACAAAAATCCACTCAAGATGGATAACAGATTTAAACCTAAGGCATGACAGTTTAAGAATCCTAGAAGAAGGATGTGCAAAACCCTCCAGACAGTGGTTTACGGCAAAGATAATTCTTAAAGAAGACCCCAAAGAATCATCGCGAGCAACAAAGTAACACACATGGACCGTGATAACACTTACAAAGCTTCTGCAAGCCACGGACACTATCAGCCAGAGGAAATAGACACCTACATAATGGGAAAAAATATTTGCTCTCCTACCACATTCTGATAAAGGTCTAATAACAAGAATCTTCTAGAGCCTCAAAGAATCACAAGAAAAAATCAAACAATCCCATCAAGAAATGGCAATGGAATGAACAGAAACTTTTTAAAGAACAGACAATAATGCCAGCAACGATTTAAAAAATGCTCAACATCGTAATCATTAGAGAATGCAATCAAACACAGTGAGATATCATCTAACCCAGTGAGAAGGCCTGATATCAAGAAATCCCAAAACAACAAATGCTGGCTAGTATGTGGAGAGACAGGAACACTCTCTCACGCTGCTGGGGCACTGCAAATTAGTGCACCTTTGTGGAAAAGTATTTGGAGATATCTCACAGAGCTAAAATAGAAATACCATTCGACCCAGCATAGATTATTAGGCTCTACCCCAAAAAGCATAGACATTCTTATTAAAAGACATCTGCACCCAAATTTTTATGCGCAGCACAATTTGCTATAGAAGGACGTGGAAACAACCCCAAGTGTCCGTCAATTCATGAGTGGATTATTAAAATTTGGTATATGTTTACAATTGAATATTATTCAATTCTAACAAATGACAGAGAGCTAGCATCGCTTACATTATCCTGGATTGAACTTAAGCCCATTATCCAAAGTGAGGTGACACAAGATCAGAATAATGGGCTCCATATATACTCGCCATCAAATTGGTACTGACTGATAACACTATGGTGCTCCAAAGGGTGGTGGTGTTCACCAGGGATTCGGGGGTTAGAGGGGTAGTCCCACATCTGAGGGATGGGGTGAACATTGTAGCAGGGAAGGGCATACCTCTAACCCTTCCTAGGGAGAAGCGAAGATATAAAATGTAATCAAAATGTTAAGAAAAAAAAAACAAACATCTGTCGGGTGTGGGGCAGGGGGGAGGGGGGAGGAGGGGATGGGTGTATACATACATAGTGAGTGTGATGCGCACCGGCTAGGGGATGGACACGTTTGAAGCCCTGCCTCGAGGGGGGAAGGGAGACAAGGATTGTACCCCCACAATATTCTAAAATAAAGAAAATAAAATTTAAAAAATTTAAAAATTTAAAAAAAGAAACAGAAAAAAAGTTTATCAAATAGAATCAAAGGCTATTTAATACCATTAACCCACCTGAAACTGATGTGAAATTTGGTCCCTAATCAGTTTCTCCACAGTTTGCAGCTCTTGTGAAGATCTTTGTCGTTTATAAATCGTCCTGCTCTGGAAGTTAGGTGAGGAATATAAGCAGACTGACTGGATGGTTCTTGATAACCACGTGTGGCAATGAAAGCCACTCGGGTTTGGCAGTTGGCAACTCAGGGGCGTGGGGATGACTAGAGTCCGTGGTTGTCATTTCTCTCTTGCATGTCTCTGGTATGAACAGATAAATCTTTTCAGAAAGCTTGAAGCTGTAATAACTGAAGGCATCGCCATAGAAACAAAGCAGGACCATCAGTAAATCAGTAAGAAAAATATACCAAAAGGTACAAAAACTGGTGAAAACTGAACAATTTTATAAAATGCTATATATTTTGATCCAGCATATAATGAGTATATGATGACATATTTAAAATGGAAAACAATTGAATTACATTCGAGTGTTATAAAATAGAGGATGAGTTTGATATGTGTGTGATTTTATTTGCAAATGTAAGTGGCAGTGCAAATGCAATGTCAATCTAGAGTAAACTAAAGCAGTGTTAAATTATTATGTATGATGGATTCTATATTGGGGACATTTGCTCTTAGCAACAAGTGATTATACCAGCTGATGCTCAGTGATGCTGCTCAGTAAATGAATGTACAAAAACAAAAGGAAACCACATAGCTAGTATACACTTTCAGTATTTGCTGAACAGAATCATGGCATACTAGTCAATGGTTGTAACACATTGTATTTGGTAGACATTTAATATGGGTGCTATTTACATATGTAATTACATGTTTCAGACTACGTATTCTTAAAAGTTTGATTTTCTGATGAACTCATTACTCATTACCATGAGATTGTTTCCCACTTACTGTGATGAGAAGGGAAGTAAAAATCATGTTATTACTATTACTATAGTAATGATAGGGTTCTACGTATTAGTTCTGTATCCAAAATGTTCAAATTCCAATGACGGAAATACCTGTTTGTGCGTTTAACACTGAAAAGGTTTATTTCCATGAACTTCCATGGTCTAGGAGGTAACTGTGCTATTCTAGTGTCTAGGAGGTAATTGTGCTATTCTAGTATTCTAGTGTCCATTTCTTTTATATGATGTAATTCTTGTATTCAAAAGTGCAAAAGGCCTTAAGTCCTTTTGGTATATGCATATTTTCTTGGTTCAGCCCCAGGGACTTCAATTTAGTAGATAATCCATGCTTCTCCACTTGTAAGCACCTTGTTCCCAAGGAAATAATAAGATTTTAATAACAGCCATTAGGTAATATTATAGCCCCCAAATGATCAGGTCCAAATGCACAACCTCACAGCAACTTTGTAGCATAATAGTATTTCTCTTCATTCTCCAAACAAAAATATTTTCCAAAGTCATTTGTAAAAATCAGAAATTTTACTTTTCAATTGGAAGAAGGAGATGGATGGAGATATTACATGCTCTATTAGACAGCAAACCCCTATAAAATCACAACTAGATATCTTATTTTTCTTTTATTCCACCAATTCATGTTCTCTGATGTGTTCATTTTTCCTTCCTTGGTCTTCCCTTCTCTTAGCTTCTACCTCGCCCACTCCATTGTCTGAAACTGCATCATTCAATAGGATAACCACTGGCTACACACAGCTATTTAAATTTAAGTTAATTAAATAAAATTAAAAATTCGATTTCTTAAGTGCACACTAGCCACATTTCAAGTGCTCAATAGTCTTACTGGATAGTGGCTGCCATATTGGACTGCACAGATGATACTAACCTAAAACAATTAAACTCTGACTTCAAGATTAATATTCCATTTTTTAAAAAAAGAATAAAAACAGGAAGAGGAGAAAAAGGTAGAGGATTAAGGAGGAGAAGGAAAAATCCATGTTGCTAGCTACCCCTACTTTGGCAGAAAGCAGTTGAAGAGCTCCTTATTCCAGTGGAAAGACGACCGCAACCTCGTGCCGATCCTACTCTCTTCTCTAGGATAGCAAATAGAGCAGCAAGGAGGGCGCAGGGCCGATGGGAGCCTGTAAGCTCCATCTTCAGAAACTAGGAGGCAGAGAAAATTTGAAAACTCCAAATTGCCTGTGTGAGTAGAGCAAGTAAACCAGCAAATTCTGCACAGGAAGCTACAGCCCGTGGCAGGAAAAACACGGAGGACAAAAGCAGGCCCGAGGAGGCACATCTCAGAAATGAACAGCAAATAGGAATTTCTAGAAAGAAAGGTCCCTCTTAAGTAGAAACCGCTGTGACAAGTCCAAGCTCTAGCGGGGCACAGTCACTACAGCTGCTATGACATAAGGAACTGAAAGTCACCTGGGATCCTGGCAGTGGCAGATCCAAAGGTGTACCGTCTTTCTAAAGACAAAAAGGTACTTTAGCAGGCGGGGAGTGTGCTCTTGGTAGCAGTGTTTAGTGAAGGAGCGGTGGCCTCAGACTAGGTCTGAGATGCAAAAGAGTCTTTTTGTGGCAACATTTTTCTGGTGAGTTTTCTTTGAAAATAAAGAATTTTTTCCTGCTATTCCCTATTTTATAGTATTTTGAAAGCATTGTGTTAGTTTCCTAAGACTGCTGTAAAAAAGTTATAATGAAATAGTCCATCCCCTTAGCCCCAGACTCCTGGCAAACTATCTTGGTTCCTGTTTTGATACCCACAAAAGTCTCTTGCTAATATATGCATATTTTTTAGAAATTTTAATTAATTCACATCTATATAATAGAAAACCTCACAGCAACCTGTTAGGGGTTCCATTGTGTTCCCCCCAAAAGGTATGTTGAGTCCTAACTTCCAGTACCCTGGATGCGAACTTATTTGGAAACAGGGCCGTTACAGTAGGATTAGTTAGGATGAGGTCATGCTAGAGTGGGTATACCCTTAATCCAGAGAAGAGACATGCGGACACAAAGGAAAAACACCGTGTAATGATGGAGGCAGAGGTTAGAATGCGACAGTCACAGTGAAGGAATACTAAGGACTGCTAGAAAACTGCCAGAAGCTAGGAACAGGCAAGGAAAGATTCTCCCCAACAGGTTTCAGAGACTACGTGGCCTGGCCAACATTTTGATTTTTAGCCCTCCTTCCTCCAGAACTATGAAGCAATACATTTCTGTTGTTTTAATCCATCTACTTTGTGGAACTTTTTTACAACAGTCATAGGAGGCCAACACAATGCTTTCAAAATGCTATAAAATAGGGAATAGCAGCAAAAATTCTTTGTTTTCAAAGAAAACTCACCAGAAAAATGTTGCCACGAAAAGATGAAAATTACAATTCAACCTGTCACCATGACTATAGATGTCATTACCGCCATGGAGGAACTATAGGGACTCAGGTTGACATGACTGGATAAGAGAAGCTGCTGTCTAGACATATGTCAGTAAAGTGGAAATTGGCAGAATTCAGGGAAAAATGAAAGAGAAAGATAATTATTTTGGAAATGAAGACTAAACTGTAGGATCACAAGAGATATTGAAACTATAAAAGGCACAATAAAGATATACAGATGAGAAAATGAGAAAACCAAATGAAAATTAACAGAAGCAAAAAATATAAAAAGTATTAGAGATAATAAGATGCATGAAAGACAGGCAAAAGACATTCAACATTTGCATAATTAGAATTCCAAAGAAAATTAAATAGTGAAAGAGAACTAATATTTAAAAATTCAATTCAAAAAACTTTCTCAAAAGAAGGCTTGAATCCACTTATCAAAGAGAAAACCATAGACCAGGGAAGGGGCACACTATAACACAGAATGATCAACATTGAGTCATAATCTAAAGAAAGTATTTAATCTCAAAGATGAAGAATCTTTGGGCAGCAGGAAGAAATATCAAGATAATTTAAGATGAAAGAAAACCAAGCCTATATCAGACTTCCCTCAGTAATTATCTACCAGAAGACAGTGAAAAAAATACTTCTAAGGAAAAAAAAAAAAAAAGAAACTCTTACGGAAGGAAAGTGTGTGAGCTAAGATTTTTATACCTTGTCAGACTATCCTTCAAGCAAAAGGCTATTAACAAATATAATTTTTTCATACACATCTGCAAGATCTCAAGGAGTATCCTTCACACAATTCCCTCCCGAGATTACTATTAAGAGATGAAACACAACTCACTAAAATCTGATAAGAAACAGCAGGAAAAGGAGAGGTGCTAAAACTTCAATGTAATTAAGATAAAAGCAAACAGTTAAAAGTGATAAAATGAAAAAATGAAAGGAGTTTGAAAATGTTTAAATAGTATCAAAAATGGGAATGAAAGAGGAAGGAAGGTGATAAATAGCCTAAGCTCACCAGTAATATACCTGTAATAGACAAAAATTAAATTATATCTTTTAAAACTGGCAAAGTACATAAATCTTAAGCATTTTCCTTTGATATTCTACCTAGTTAAACTGTATTGATTTTATAGGTTGGTGGAGTGACTTGCAGATTTTTATGCAGGACTACCTGTGAATGAGTACTGACTACAATAGAACAAGTAATAAAATAAGACATTCACATATCAGAAGTGGTGTATCTTTTATTAGATTTAATTTAAACCTTGCTGGTCCTAGAATAACTGGCTCTTAACTTCTATTTCTTCCCCTATGCTCTTGAGCTCTTGGACACATTCTCTCTCCCTGTCCTTCTCCCCCACCCAACACACATTCTTTTCTACACAAACCACTGAAGATTGACACTCTGTACATCAGCCTGAGGTAAGAATATTTCAAGTAGAACTGCACTTTGGCTGTATAAATGGTTGTCTAGAAAGATGACACAATCTTCTAAGTGATCGTAGCGGCAGAAATTGGCAAATGGAAAGAGAATGTATTGGAATAGCTCAAGACCAAGGCTAAGGAAGACAAAACTCAGGGACATGTATGTAGCAGGAACTAATGAACAGCCTTTTCAGAGTGCCACCCTTGAGGGAAATGAACTGTAACTTTTTGTAGTATTTTTGATGCTCTGCTCAAAGGTAAAACTCTAAGAAACTGTGTGGATCACATGCTGTAACAACAGATTGTCTCCAGTAGGTACAATACAGTATGCTCAAATGGAAAAAAAATAAGCAGGAAAAGGTGGCATAAATGGTAAGGTCCAAAGCAACACATGTCCATTAGGAATGTCACAGTCTCAGTGCTTACACTGCTGGATTGGAAGAAAGGGACCAGAGCAATTTATTCAAATTTATTCAAATCTCAGCGACGTTAGAGAAGCTAAGTATCAAGGAAGAGTTGAAGAAGTCATGAGACTTAGAAGTGGTTTATGAGACCTCTTCCTGCTCATCTCCACCCCCTGGTCACTATCTCTTCCCCCAACATCTTCTTTATCCCATGTAGCTGCTCAGTATTCACACTCACTCTCGCTTGTTCATTTCTTTCTCCCACTGGAATGGCGCGAGTCTTGCTTGGGGACATAAATCGTTTCCAGTTGTCTCCACCTTTCTGGAATTCTGCAACTGTTCCTTTAAGAGAATGCGCCTGCACTTGCCCATCTTTCTCATGGCATTTATCAGTAGTAGATGCCTATGAAAGTCATCTGTTATGCCTCTTTGGTGCCTGCACCCCTTTATTTGAAAGCTGCCTTTGAGCTGTGGGACTTTCAGATCAAAGGAATGTTCTAAGTTTATGAAAATGTATTCAGTCTCCTTTAGTTGGGAGAATCACTGTTCAGAACAACAAGCTCCAAAGAACACTGTTGGTGGGAAGATACTGCCAAACCCGTAAACAGCTTGTCCAAGGCCCAGTAAGTTGGCAGCAGTTTTTTCATAAGTTTCACACATAAGTTTCTGTACAAGGTTTTATTTTCTGATTTAATAGTGTAAAATTTCCATCTGCTTCCACTTTGGGGTAGTTTGGAAAGTACTAGAAAAAATTAGGAGGTAACCAAATCTTTTTTAGGTGAATTTTTATTTTTGTGCACCATCTGGAATTAAAAAAACAAAAACAAAAACAACGCAAAAAACATAAAGGCCTCCACATAAGCCATCTGCTACTGAAGGTCTTTGGCTATTCTTTTCCATACCTACTGCCAAGGGAGTCCCAAGACAGTGTAATTCCAAGTTCAGGGTTCCAAATGGCAGCCTGCCTTTTAAATAGCAGCAAAACAGTAGTAGTGGAAACACAATAACAAATACTTGTCATTTTATAAGTTTGAATATTTTTATATTTGTAATAAGTTCATTTAGAGATAAACACAGGAACATGAAAGAGCAGAATGGCATTTTGATCATTCTTAAGCAGGAAAGAGATAACTATTTTTTGGCATGAAAACTTTCCACTTTTAGTAAGAGAAGATTGAGGGAAGGCAGAGTACACTGTCAGGTTCAATTAATTGTTGAAACCAAACAAAAATAGCCTCTCCTGGTTCCCATTGTTCCGCAGCTGTTGGCTTCATAACGCCCGTTGTCTCCTTTCTTTTGACTAATCATCGTGGTTGCCCAGTTTCCTTTCTTGATTTCCGACCAGAGTTGTGATGTGTCATAGGAGAACGGGCAGCCCTCCCGGCATTTCTTTCCAGGCCTGTTGAACACATCCACCCTGGAGCACTTGCCCTTTTCTTCAAATCACTGAATTTCTTGACCCACCTGGACTGAGAGGCCGTGTTTGTCAACGTGCAGGCTTCAGTCACTTGATAAGGGAGCCCGAGTGGCTTCCTGCCTTAGGGAGGTCAGAAAGATAAGAGTCTTGAATGGAATGTGTGTACACATCGTAGGCCCCTTTGTTGTCATTTGTCACAGTCTCACTTTGCTTCTTGTTACTTTGTTGAAAGCGTTCTAGATTGCTAAAGTCTAATATGCTGAGTTTAGCAATTACTAAAAGAGTTATATCATGTATATATGGAATCTCATTTAGTTAAATATCAAAAGTCTAGCAACTTAACTTTTCGGAACACAGAAATGAACTTCAGAGTAAAAACTAACATAGCTGTAGGGACTCCATGCTCTGGGACCCAAGCACTTCTCATGCAGGCAAGTCTTAAGGCTTAGGACGCTGTCCGGCATTCATTAAACATTCAGTAAGTGTTCATGGTATTGTTAGAACGTTTTGACTGTCTTTAGACGTAAATCCAGCAAGCTTGGTGATATGGTTTGCATGTTTGTCCTCTCCGATTCGATCTCCAGTGTCACAGGTGGGGCCTGGTGGGGGGGTTGGGGTCATGGGAGCAGGTCCCTCGGAATGGGTTGGTGCCGTCCCTGTAGTAACCTGTTAGTTCACGCGACAGCTGGTTGTTTAAAAGAGCGAGGCGCCTCCTCCTCCCCCTCTCGCTCCCCCTCTGGCCGTGTGCCAGGCCTGCTCCCCTCAGCTTCTGCCATGAGCAAAGGCTTCCTGAAACCTCACCAGACGCAGGTGCTGGCCCCACGCTTCTTGCACGGCCTGCGGAACCGTGAGCCAAATAAACCTCTTTGCTTTTGAGATCACCCTCCTTCAGGTGTTCCCTTTATAGAAGCACACACAGGCTAAGACACTTGGTTATCACGATTCTCAGGAAAAAAGGAAAAGATTACCAACAACATTTTTGAATCATAGCAAAAGATAAAATGAGAACATTGTCAAAATCTACAGCGGATAACTACCTATAAAAATAAGAGAAAAAATTTAAAAAACACAGTTGAAGTAGTTGGCCCATTTAACTAGCCCAAGGAAGTGAAATAAATTAGGTCATCCTTTAGAGACACTGCCCTGGCGATCATAGTGACCACCATTAAGTCATCAAAGAAAAGTCCAGTTAGGTTTCCTTTATGCAAAGAATGTAATGCAAGGTAAAATTAAAAAACATGAAAGTTTAAAAGGTATAGATGAAGCACTAAGTAGGATTTTCATTAACTATCTTGGAAAGTCTGCTCAAAGAGGGCAGCTCACTCATCAAAGAGCTGAGTTCTCAGTAGGGCCTTGCTGAGTCTGCTGACGCTGTCAAATTCAACGATATCCCATCACACGGTCTTATGCTCTGCTTGGCATGGCTTAAAGACTGGGGCGAACTCCACAGCCCTCACTTCCCATCTTGGACCACATCTGGCTCTCTTTAAAAAAAAAAAAAGAGCTGTCTGGTCTCAGGATGTCCCCAACCTGCCTTGCAGGAGAAGGTGGCTCCTCTGCTCGGATGAGTCACCTGGCTAGTGTCACCCCCTAGCTGGTGTGGACACTGGCCTTGGTTCTCCACCGTCAGCAAAGCAGCCTGGCTGGACTTATGATTCAGAGTATCCTTCCCCTCTGTGCTTGCCACGGGTTCTCTCCAGCCCATCACACAGTTTTTCCTCCTCCGTCATCATCAAAACCACCCACGGCCACATCACACCTCACCCTCGCGCTCCGGTGCCCTACAGACTTCCAGGTCTTTCACTTCCAGGCCCTTGCTCCCAGCGCCGTCCCTCCTGACAGGACTCCTTCCCTCGCCACTCTCCCCAGCCAGCTCCCACCAGCTTTGCCCCCAGCCCAGCAGTTTTCCGTTGTGCTATTTTGTCTCCCAGGGGACATTTGGCAATATCTCAAGACACTTACTACTGTCATAACCTGGGGAAAGGTACTGCTGGCGTCTAGTGGGTAGAGGCCAGGGCAGCTGCTGAACATCTTCCACTATACAGGCTAGTCCTCCACAAAAAAAGAATCATCCCGTCCAAAATATCCAAAGTGCCCAGGTTGGGAGACCTTGCAATCGTCCCAGTCCTCATTCTTCACATCTCAGTTTAAATCTCACCTCCCACGAAACCTTCCCGGAATGCTACGAGCTGGGTTCGCATCCCTCCTCTTTTCCCTTTTGGTACTCGATGTAACATCCTTCCTTGAGGTTTCCATCTGCAGCAAAATGCCTTTGTCTTTGTCCTTCCCCAGCCAGCTCCCGGTGAGCAGGAGTGTCTTCCCATCCATGTCTGTCCAGCACCGCGACCGACACGTGGCTTGTTGTGTTTTTCAAATGTTTGAATGATCAAATAAAAAGGAGCAATCTTGTTTTAAGCATTATGCCTTTGATCTTCCACTGATCGTTTGGCAGCATTAGAGCTACCTTGCTGATCCCCACGGAGAACCTGTAAACATAGCGTAAGTGGTCCTCCTCCTCCTCCATTTCACCATGTCTGTGCTCAGCAATGGCGCCTCTTTGATGATAATCTTTGGATGGTGACAACAGTGCATTTAATGTTAACTGAGAGCCCCCCTTTAACTCTCAATAATCTACTGAATTGGAATTACTGTCTAGTTATCAATACACTCACCGACACCAGATGTCTTGGGCTCAAATTCAGGATCTGTCACCTGTGCGACCATGAGTATATTCCTTAATATTCCTCTCTGCCTCGGCTTTCTATCTGAAAAATGGGCATGAACATAATACAACACTCACAGATTTTTAATGAGGATTAGCTGATTTGGTATTTGTAAAATGCTTACGACAGTGCTTGGAACCTAGTAAGTGCTATGTTAGTGGTGGTTAAACAGGGATGGAAGGGTAGTCTAGTGCCAATGCTCTGTTGCTTATCATGAGTGCATCAAGGCAGGTAAATAAATCTCATCCTAAACTATCACCCTGCTTTATCGCATTCCTGAGGAGATAGGGCTGGACCCATATTAAAAGATAAGACTATTAAGGTTTCCCTGCCATGTGTCTTGATCTCACCAAATAACCTTCTAGAACGTGTCAAGCTTTTCTGAAGGCAGGTGATAGAGTGTCTTTTAATCCTGACACAAAAACAAAACAAAACAAAACAAAACAAAAATCCACTGATCACCTATGGTCACCACTGCTACTGCATTCTAATTTTTCTGCTTCAAACTGGCATTTTAATCATTCTGCCCATAGCAACTAATGTCCTTTAAATTAGCATTAAAAATTCACTCTTTTGGTTTATCCTTCCTGAATCAAGCTAATTAGCTATCAGCTGAGAGACCTTTAAATTATAACCTGAATTTGTTACATTTTTCTGGTTTATAATGCCTTATTGAGATAAATTTAAAACCCCCAAAGGAGTGAATTAATTAATGTTAATTAGAGAGAACAGCATGGCCCGGATGCCAGGTAAGTCTTTGGCGTGTGCTTGGAGAGCCATTGCTGGGAAGAAGGCGTGCTTTTGCAGCACGCTGTTTTGGACAAAGCGCTTTGCCATGGTGGCCTCGTGACACGTGAGAAAGAGGAGCCAGAAATAAGACGAGAAGCATCACTGAGCACAGATGTTATCTGTGTATTGCATACATTACCTGTGGAATATTTCCCTTTCATATTTTTAATCAGAAAATATTTTCTAAATGCCTTCCACATACCCGGCTTTAGGTAGGTGCTGAGGGAAGTGCAAAGATAAGGGGTCACCACCCAAAAGAACTTAGAGTCTAGAGCAGCACTTCCCAGTAGAACTTTCCGCAAAGATGGAAATCTCTACACTGCACTGTCCAGTAGAGCTGCCATGTGGATATTCAACACGCAACATGTTGTTCACGTGATCAAGGAAATTAATTTTTATTTTAACTTTAAATAGCCACATGTGGTTACTGGTTGTTGTATTGGATATCTCAGGTCTAGAACATAATAGAAACTATATACTGTTTGTTTTTATTACTTACAATTTTCCAAGTTTGTCAATGTTTCTCTTATGTCACACTTGTGTGTCTCTCTGTCTTTAGGTCTCTCTGTTTTTCTTTATGTCTCTCTTCCCCCACCCCCTCTCTCACTCACTCCCCCCCCATCTCACACGCACACACACACACACACACACACACGCACACACACTCACTCACATCCCTTTATTTCCTATTCAGTGTAATGTTTATCAGCTTAAACTGATTTTCCTCGGGGCTGTGATGATCAACTTGGACGGTTGGAGCATATCAGAACTTCTGGGGAAAAGAAAGAAAGCAGCTGTGTAATCAATTTTATGGTTTCATACTAAGAAAATTTAAAAAATATTTACATACACAATATGGAAAGATAAATTGGAGAGACGACTTGGGGTACACAAGTAGTTCTCAACAGAAACTTATACCTGTTCCCCAGGGGTGAGTATCAGAATCTAGGAAGGGATGGAAGAGATGTTGCAAGGTTTTTTATGGTGAACAAATAGGTGCATGGGTTTACAATTTTAATAAAACCAACTTAGCTTAAAAACAGTTACAACATATTGCACCAAATGGTCGAAGGGTCTTTTTACCACATAAGCCACCACACACAATCATTATCTCAGTGGACATCAGAAATTCTCTGAGTGTTCTGGAGACCAACACAGTAGATCCAAGAGTGGTTCCTTAGTCCTCCACAGAGTCGCCAACATGATTGCAACCCGTATAATTTTGGACAACATAATTTGGATTTTATCCTGATATTCTTAAATGTAAACAAAGATGTCAGGAATACAGCTGTGAAAAACTAGTCTGATCCAAAGCTTGACAAACTACTATGAATAAGCAAAAATACATTCAAAGGACAATATCTTTGGAACTCCTTTTTCAGGACATTTTGGAGAGGTTTTTTGTTTTTTTCAAATTCAAACCTATTAATATAATTCAGTGGGTGTATTTTGTAAGTAAGGGCTACATTCTATAGGGTCTGATAAATTTGCCTCTTTTTTCAAATTATTTTGTGTTCATCAAAGATGGATTTCAGATGCAATCATTTCCTTCACTGCCCCACTAAATGATGTTCTTTCACCCATCTTTTTGTGTTTCACTTGAATAATAGCAATATCGCCACCTATAGGTCTAAATGATTTTTTTGGATTGTTTTTCGTGACCAAAATGAGGAAGAAATAAAAAACTCTGGAGAATGGATTGTTCTGGATGGTTGAGTTTGACAGTTACTTAGGATCCATGCTTTTAGGCGCCCTTTTTATTTTCGGTAATTTCGGATGGAAAGCCTATTTGTTCAAAGACACTGCACAAGCCCCTGACTTCTCAGCTACTGCACTGGAAATACTTAATATCTTTTAATGACCAAGGGTGATCATCATCAGTATAAATTCTTATGCTAGCTCAGAAGTATTTTTCAAATGCTAATTTTGCCCTAGGCAGAAGCATCTCAGACTGCTGTCTCCTTGAGTATATCACTCACTAGGATATTCAGTCACTTGTATGGACCTCAATTTACTCTTCACTGTACATGGTATATATTCCTATTTGGAATACATGAACTCTCACTCTTTCATATGTTGCTACCAGTTTTCTGAACTTATAAACCAAATAACTTCCCTAGTTAAAGTTGTTTGCAAAATAGAGTAATTTGGAACTATGTACAAAGAATTTATAAATCTTACCATAGGGATTTTGTGACTCTGATTTTGTTTTCTCACATAAAATTTTGATAATTGCTTCCTGATGCACAGGTGGATTCCTGAAAGGTAACATTGCTGAATAAGAGTTCTGGGTAGGTGAGTCATTAATGGCTTCTCATTTGAATTTCTCATTATTAGTTCTCATTACTTGAATTACTTCTCATTATTTGAATGACTTCTCATGATTAGTGACTTCTCTCATCCTTTTCAATTTTTATTTTCATATGTGATAATTCTTCACCCTTGAAATAGTGTCAATGTTAATAAAAAGTTTTATGATCTTAAAAATATTTGAAAATCTGTTATCATCTCTAAATCTTCCAATTTCAGTTTAAGTATGTCCTGTAACAGTTACTAAAAATGTTATTTTTCCCAAATTAGCAGAATGTATTATTCTGAGCAAGAGTTAATGAACTTGAATCAACCAGCTAGCTGATAAAACATATACTAATTTTTAACTCATTATAGTCATAGATAAATCACACCTTGATATCTGCAGGCCCTTAAAAACTAAATGACCCCCAAACTTCTAACTTAGAAGTATCATATTCAGGTGGTTTGGAAAAAGCCATTGACAATACCTCAGAGCTTCAAAGAAATCTGAAGCAGACCTAATAGTCTATTTGCTACTATAGACTTTAGTTCGTTCATCAACAAAATTATAATGTATAATGTTTTTGTAATAAAAAAGGAAAAGCTTCATTCAGACCTCCATGATCCTTACTTAGAAAAATTGTTTCTTACTATCTCTCTAAATCAAACGTTTACTACTTTTATTATTAAAATCAGTAACATCCTTGCTTTGTCATTCCCCCCCCCCTTTTTTTTTGAGACAGAGTCTACTGTGTTGCCCAGGCTAGAGTGAGTGCCGTGGCGTCAGCCTCGCTCACAGCAACCTCAAACTCCTGGGCTCAAGCAATCCTCCTGCCTCAGCCTCCTGCGTAGCTGGGACCATAGGCATGTGCCACCATGCCCGGCTAATTTTTTCTATATATATTAGTTGGCCAATTAATTAGAACTCTCATACACAGCTGATGTGAATGTAAAATGGTACAGTTCCTTTGGAAACAGTTTGGCGGTTCCTCAAAAAGTTAAACATAAAATTACCATATGATCCAGCAGTTCCACTCCAAGAAAAATGAAAATGTATGTCCGCACAAAAACTTGGACATGAATGTTCAGAGCAGGATTATTAACAGCAAAAAGGTGAAAACAAAAACCCAAATGTCCACCAACTGATGGATTTATAAAGAAAATATGGGAAACAATGGAATATTATTCAGCCATAAAAAGGAATACATGCTACAACATGAATATCATGCTTTCATTATTATGCTAAGTGAAAGAAGTCAGGTGATAAAGCATGATTCCATTTATACGAAATGTCCAGAATCAGCCAAAATTGCTCAGTTGGGAGAGCGTTAGACTGAAGTGTCCAGAATAAGCAAATCCTTAGAAACAGAAAGTAGATTAACAGTTGATGAAGATTAGGAGAGGGAGGAATAGGAAACAACTGCTAATAAGCATGGAGTTACCTTTTAGGGTGATGATGATGTTCTGGACTTAGATGTTGGTGATGGTTACACAAGTTTGTGAATATACTAACACACACTGATTTATACACTTTGTTGAATTTTATGCATGTCAATAAAAAGTACATTTAAAAAAATAAAATAAAATAGTAACAGATAAACAATCCATAAGTAAAGAGAACTTACATAAAATTGGGAGGAGCTCAAAAGCCCACTATCAAATCCATCCCGGAAAGTGTGTCAGACAATGTTTCTCCGCGTGCTCTGTGAAGAAAGAAAATTCCACAGTTTAATGAGTTTGGGAAACACTTCATATTGTAGCCCCTTCTTACATGTTCATACCTCACAATTTACTGTATTGAATACTAACCATCCCATAATGAAGAAATATCTGCCACTTTGTTAGAGTCGAACTTTCCAGATTTGTTGGATTGAGGAATCCTGTCCTTTCTGAGTGCCTTTTAACGCCCCGCTGAGCTGCCCTGGTGGTCCCTGGGCTCCTCACAGGTTTGCACCTCCCCATCAAGGCCTGCAATGGGCTTGTACTTCTTTACCTCTTCACACGGAGGCGTCATTAGACTGCTTCCATCTGTCCACATAAATGTACCATTGTGCACTGTGTCCCAGCTGGACTGAAGTCTTAAGGGCCACCGTGTCTTTTGCCACATTCCCCTTCCCCTTCCTTGGGCAAACTGAGAGCAAGTGTAGCCTGGGCTGTCCTGGGCATGAGTGACAGCGATGAGCAGGGCCCTCTGGCAGACCTACCAACCTATCGGAAGTGAAGAGTGAGCAAGAAGTCAACTTTGCTGGATTCCGCCTTGAGATGTGGGGTTATTTGTTATGGCAGCATAACTGAACTCGTTCTAAATAATACCCTGGACTATGCAGCAAAAAACTTAAAAGTATCAAAGGACTTACAAGATTTCCAAAATGAACTCATAGTACTAGAAATAATTTTTACTGGGCTTTCTCTAGCAGCTCTGCCTTCTTTAAAAACCTTAGACATTTTAATAAAGGAAAATGTGACACATCAAGAACGCTGTCTAGGTGGAATGATAATCGAGCCAGAGGGCCTCTGCTCATGGTTGGGCTGAAAACTGTAAAACTCTTGCAGGATACAAATATTACAGAGCAGTTGTTGTGCACGCAATAGCATTTGTCTCTGCAAGCCATTCCCACCTGGGCAATCCCATACTGTTCTTGCTACACTCACAGGATTAAAAGTTCATAATGTGTAAGTCAGTCTATGGACTTGATGAAGAGGCCAATTTAATGTTGTAACTGTTTTTCCTGAGAAACTAGCTCTCTTCATTTGCTTCCTGGACAGTGATGAATAGACTATTTTAGTGTTATTATTATTGTTGTTGTTATTTTGTGCTCCAGTCCCAATTGGGAGTTCCAATTTCTTTACTGAATAAACTAGAAGAATTGATGTTATGTGGGAAGATATAAAACAGATCCTTTTTTCAACTAGGAATCGTGTTTCTAAATAAGGAAAACTTCACAACATCAGTTTACACTTCTATTTGGTACTGACCTTTTCTAAAACCATAATAAGAAAAAAACAACATGAAATGATTTCTCAGTTGTCAGAACCACATTTCTGTGGATTTTCTAAGCTGCCTCAATTTCATTCTTCTATTTTTTGTTTGTTTGTTTTTGCCTCAGAACCCTGGAAAAACTGAATCAGCGACATAGTTTAGATCAAACTGAAAAGAGTAAGAGCTTATTTTCTGCCAAAGTAGCTAAGTGCTCCCTTGATTTGTTCAGACTTTCTGCAGAAACACCAAATCTTCAATCTTCTAGCATATATCCGTTCCTTTATTTAAGAATCACTGAATACTGAGTATATACTTGGCATACACAGTATGCCAAGAAGGCAGTCAATACGTCTTCTCTAGTGGTTGTTTTTTTTTTTTTTTTTTTCAGCATATTACAGGGATACAAATGTTTAGGTTACATATATTGCCTTGGCCCCACCTAAGTCAGAGCTTCAAGCTTGTCAATTCCCCCGACAGTGAGCACCACACCTATTAGGTGTGAATATTGCCCAACTTTTCCGGCCCCCTCCTCCCTGTCCAACACCTTATGGATGTGAATACTATATGTGCAGTTAAGTGTTGATCAGTTAATACCAATTTGATGCCGAGTACATGTGGTGCTTGTTTTTCCATTCTTGTGATACTTCACTTAGTAGAATGGGCTCCAGCTCTATCCAGGATAATACAAGAGGTGCTAGATCACCATTGATTTTTGAGGCTGAGTAGAACCCCATGGTATACATATACCACATTTTATTAATCCATTCATGGATTGATGGGCACTTGGGTTGTTTCCACATCTTTGCAACTGTGAATTGTGCTACTATAA